AGACCTTGAAGGGCTGGATAGCGCCCATCGATTGGGATGGGATGCTGAATTCACCGGGACGTTTGGCGTCCCGTGCCAGGAAGATTCGGTTGAGCTGCATCTCGGGTTAGCGACTGTATCACGTAGACCCCTCATATAGGCGGTCGTGTAGACAGTCGGTACAACGCATCCTGAATCCCGGCGCTGTAGACTCTAACGTCGGACCTAGTATACATCACCGCCGTCAGCAAACCTCTGGTCCAGCCCCTAAACTGAGAATCCCTATACTGAGAAATCACCACTCCATTTAGTTCTGTTGGCGCACAGCTGCTAACGATCTGCGGCTCAGAGAGGCGATGATTCGCGCCTGACTGGTTTCGGCGATCTCTGCCCGATAACAAAAATCCAACCTGGAAAATCCAGTATACGGTGTTGGGGAATCGAACCCTTGACGATTGTCGTAAATCGACGACTTCGGTTTCACAACCGTTCAACCATGCACCCTTGACAACGATGACGCGTCATCAAGATAATCACCCGGCAAGCGCCTGGTGAAACCTCGGGCTTTGCGGCGGTGTTCCCGGGTTCGACTCTCGCGCTCCTTGCTACCTGCAATTAATTCTGGCGTTCTCTGGCGCCATGTGAGAACGGAACCAATGAGCCGGGCAAACTGCGGACAGAAGAATCTACTACATCTTGTACGTTCCACTCACCTCCAAAATGTCTGCACTTGCACCGCCAGTTCTAAGATTCGACAAGTTGCCTGCTGAGCTGATCTCGTTGATCATATATCATGCTCAGATCACTTGGCATAACGAACACTTCGCGGTACAAGCTCCATACGCAGAGGAGGTCAACCGTTACGAGCCACCGCCCCCCGGGTCTGCGCCGTCCCATGTACTCGCATGCTGCAACGGCGCACGATCGGATTTCAGTCGGCCGACTTGCATATGCTCAGACTCTGGAAGAGCCCTTCCGAATCACCTGCCTTCTCCTGCCCATAGCGCTTCGCTGGTATCGAAAAAGCTACGCGGTGTCCTTGAGGGGAATTCCCACATCTGGCAATTGGATAACACCGTGTACCCAGCGATTGCGCGCCGCTCTGGAGAACGACGCACCACCTCTCGTGGCCAGACTGTCATCGAGTACGGATCACGCAGCCTCGTAGCGTTGGACGTCTGCGCTTGTCTTCTCCGCGGCCTTCGTCTCTTCTACTCCAGTCTTGAGAGCGTCAAGCTTAGGCTGCCGTGGTCCGGCGACCGCAGCCTGGGGTCCGAGCTACGACAATTCCTTCGTGACATCAGGGGTGGCGAGAACAGCCCTCTGCGTAGCTTCGACATGGAGGCTTTAGACGCAGACCCGTTTCACGTTCGGGATGGTGTGCGTCGGCGTATGACGGCTTTGGAGAGCGTAAACCTGCGTAGAAGCTGGTTTTATCGGGGCAATGTGTACTACTACTCAAATACATTGATCTCCCTTTGCCTCCGTCAAGGTCCTGGAACCTCCATGGTTTTTGGATCGGCGCTATCCATCGGTCTCTCGGCGTGCGCCGACGCGCTCGAGTATCTGACGATCGACATCCCCGAAGGCTTTGTTGCTGATATCGAGGACAGCATCACATTTCTTAGACTACGCTACTTTCGGCTTTGCACTGATCCCCTTTTTGGAGCTGTCCTGCTTGGCAGGCTCGTTCTCCCCTACGCACTCGACTTCCATCTCGAGCAGGTCGAGTCCTGGAAAGAGTGCTTTACCGCAAAGCACCAGGGAACATACCAGGTGCCCTTCTGGCCTTCGGAGTCCCCAGACCCGCTCGACTGGAGGCGACCCCCTGCATTTGCTCAAGATCTAGCAGAACCCCATCGCACCCGCTTGATACACTCCTCCAACCCCGCAGAGCACCAGGAGAACGTCGCTGACCAAGCTGAACCGCTGTGGCGGCGCTCAACGGCGGTGATAGGGCTGGACGTGCATATCGATCCAAACACCGAGCCCTTCGAACCGGCGGCGGCACGATTCCCCGCGTCTGTCAGCGTCGCATTGGCAGAGTCAGTCGATGAACTTCGTCCGGTGTTGCGGGACCCTGTAGGTCGCGATGCCGGGGGGAGTCGGGAGTTGGGCGATAAGCTTGCGGCGCGGCGATCCCTCACATTTAGAGACAACGAGGTTCCCTCGCGACCCAGGTGTCTTACCAGGCCTAGGGATATTGAGGTCAATACCCAGTATCCAAAAGCTTTATACGACACCCTTCAATACGTTCTGAGCCTTGTACCCGACGCCAAGGCTTCCGCGTCCGAGCGCCGAGTGCGAGAGTTTGTCTTCGCCAAAGACAGCTGGCTGCCCGATCGGTCTCTAGGATACCAGCACATCCTGGGGAGATTCACGGCTCTCACCGTGCTGCATTTTGACGGTCCTTTGCTCAGCGGCCGTGTTCAATTCAAGCAGAACATGGAGGGTTGCTTGGCGTTCGAGCATCTTCACGCCCTTGCGTATGCTCTTAATGCTCCGGGTACCGGCGGCGTTTATCTCTGCCCGGCGTTGGAAGTCATTCATCTGAAGGCGCCGGTGGAGAGGTTGCTGAGCTTGCAGGAGCGAGTGGACTGGATTGAGACGATTAATTCACCAGATCGCCTGGCTTTCGGTGCGCAGAGGATTCGGTTCACCTAATGCCAGGACTGATCGTCGCACGGTTTCGCGCTTCTACTGCATCACCTGTACTTAAGCGACCTGTAAACGCATCTGTAGGAGCTGCGCTTATTTATTCTCATATCGCATCTGGAAGAAAGCCACGATCTGTCTTTGCCGCGGACCCCTTCGACCTGCGTTCGTAAAGCTAATGCGGCGAATCTTTCTTCGCGGCAGGCTTGCTTTTCCCCGTGAACCGTCACGGTGCTTGCCGGCGATGGGGCGTGCTTGATGCCGGCTTGCCGCGTCGGCTCAGGCAATGCAAGCTCCCTAAACTTTCAATGGGCAGGCGAGTCGTGGGTCGCGAGGTGCGCGACGTCACGGTGTTTTCGTGTTCGACTTCGGAGCTTCCCGATATAAGTAGCTTGCGAATCTTCGTCTTTCCGCGACTAGGAGTCGGCAGGGCGCCTCATTGAAACTGAGCTAGCGGAGGGAATTTTGTCCAGCCTATGTGAAATATGGGAACTTCTGATTCGCCGGTAAACTTCGCGATCAGGAATCTGCTGCCGCTTGAACCTTTCCGTCATCTCTCATGTCTGATCTTGCCCCGCCCATTCTGCGATTTGACAAGCTGCCGGCTGAGCTGATTTCTTCGATCATATACTTTGCTCAGATCGCTTGGCATAACGAACACTTCGCAGCACAAGCGCCGTATGTCGGGGTGAAGCGATATCAGGTGTCAGAACCCGCCTCTGTGTCTGCCCCGCCGTCTATCTCGCCATGCTGCAACGGTACGCGGTGGGATTCCAGCCGGCCGATCTGCATACGCTCAGACTCGGGCAAAGCTCTCCCCCCTCACCTTCCTTCTCCTGCCCATAGCGCATCGCTGGTCTCGAGAAAGCTACGCGATGCGCTTATTGATGAATCTCGGATCTGGAAACTGGATAACACATTGTACCCAGCGATCGCGAATCTTTCTGGCGAACACCGCACGACGTCGAGTGGCCGTCAGGTCATACAATACGGAGCTCGGAGCCTCATAGCCCTGGACGTCTGCATTTGCGTCCTGGCTGGCATCTCACCCTTCTACTCTAGTCTGGAGCGGGTCAAGCTCAGACTACCGTGGCTCGGCGATGGAAGCCTGCTGTCTGAGCTACGGCAGTTTCTTCGCGACGTCAGGGGCCGTGCTGACAGCCCTCTGCGTTACTTTGACTTGGAGGCTCTCGTCGAGAACGCGTTTCGGGTTGCGGCGCGAGGACATTGGCGTGTGACGGCCATCGAGAGCGAGAACTTACGCTCCAGCCGCTTTTCAGGCGGCAATCTCTTCTACTACTCGAGGACTCTCCAGTCGCTGTATCTCCATCAAGGTCCCAACTCCAACGTCGTCTTTTTTGGATCGTCTTTATCGATCGCCCTCTCAGCGTGCTCCGTCACCATTGAGTTCTTGACCATCGACATTGCCGGAGGCGTCGCGGCGGAACTCGAGGACAGCGTTGCATTTCCCAAACTCCGCCACTTCCGGCTGTGCATGGATTCCGGTTTTGCTACCCTCCTACTCTGCTGGATGGTCCTGCCCTATGCCCTCGACCTGCATCTGGAGCTAGTTGAGTTCTGGAGAAAGAGCTTCACGACGAAGCACCCGGGCGTATACGAAGTGCCCTTCTGGCCTTCGATGTATGCTCCTCCTGTCCATCTCCTATGGCGGCGGCCGCAGGACTTTGCGCAAAGCCTGTACCAGCCCCATTGTACGTCGACGATAGCGCATCCCGGCGCCGCACCGCATCCAGCACACGTCGGCGATCCAGCCGAGTCGCTTTGGCAACGCTCAATAGCAGTAATGGGGCTTGACGTGCGTCTGGACCCTTCCATCAAGGCCAATGAGCCAGTTGCTGCGCGGTTCCCAGAGCTCGTCAGCATATCGCTGGCGGAGTCGGTCGAAGCGCTTGTGCCAGTCGCGCGTGACCCGGTTGGACGTGATTGGCAAGGGAGTCAAGAGCTAGAAGGCAAGATTGCCGCGCGGCGGTCGTTGACATTCAGAGATGGGCAGTTCACCGCACGGCGTCGTGAGCGCGACTTCAACAATCAGTACCCCAAGGCCTTGTACGACACCTTGCGATACGTGCTGAACGCCGTCCCGGGTCCGTCCACCACGGGCTTTGAACGCCGGGTCGAGGTGTTTGTATTCGCCAAGGACAGCTGGCTGCCTGACCGCAGCCTAGCGTACCAGCATATTCTAGAGAGATTCATCTCTCTCAGATCGATACTTTTCGACAGTGCTCCGCTTGCCGACGACGCGCATTTCCGGCAGAATATGGAAGGTTGCCTAGCCTTCGCGCATCTCGATGCGCTCGCCTTGTACCTCAACAGTCCGGGACCTGCTGGAGCTTATCCTTGCCCCGCCCTCGAGGTCATCCGCATCGCGGGCGAACCTGCGCTGCCGCCGATTGATGACGGGCGATCCAGGGCAGAAGCGTGGGATACCTTTTGGAATTCGGCAGGCCGACTGGCGTGCGGTGTTCCTCGGATTCGCCTTACCGAGAATGTTCGTCTCGTACTGTAGATTCAAGATTCACAAATCGCCGCAATTTCTCCAGGTAGCGAACGGCCCTCTCACCGTGAACCATGCCCAACGCCGCAAGCATAGGGCGGCTCGGAGCTCGATCATAAAGCAGTGCGACCGCGAGGTTCTACGGAACCCCAGCGGGATCATGATTAGCCAGTAAGCCGTCGCCTGACTATGTCGGAAGACCCAGTAAGACGAAGGGCTTCGACGCTACAACTTCGCCTTCGGCTCCAACTTTCCTGGCGGCGTACGGCCGCCGTAAGGTGCCAATGTCGCCGGACAGTGATCGTCGTAGAGGCTTCCTCGAGCCCTACTCTGGTCGGACGCGAGTCCGGCCTTTGAATGATTCACCTCCGTAGGTCACCCACTCGCTGGGGATAGAGGAAGGCAAACCGGGCGCGTTGGATTATCTCGCACGGTCTTCACGGCGATTGCGTGTAACTTAGTGGGTGAAAAGCTTTCTCAATTTCGAAAGAGGATCCCTTCTTGTCGGCGCCTATCTCATGGCTTCGTACTCTTCGGCGGACAATAATACCTCTGAACCAGACCCACGAACCAGACCCACGATGCTAATAGAACTGAAGAATGCCGTGGACACCACGAAGCTTCCCGCGCAAAGAATACATTTTCACTCCACCCCTGCTCTGCCTAAGGAGCCAGATCAGTAACTGCGTCCATTCGCGCCGTCTACCAAGCGCACCGTGTTGCAGAAGCCCACTGAGATCGCCGACCAACTGAGCGAACATCGCTCGCGTTTGCCGGTTCTCCTCCGCTTGGCGCTCCTCGGAGGCGCCAATGTGGTCGTGCAGGGCTTGCATCTGCTGCAGGACGAACATCTTCAAGTCCTCGTTCGCGCACATCGCAACCTGGTTGACCGCGGAGATGGCCGCCGCTTCAGCGGGGTTGAGCCAAGGCAGCCTACTGCAGTATAAAGCGACTGCTCTCACCAGAATCATTGATGTCGTTAGATGAAGGGAGTTGAGTAGACATGACGAACTACAGAGCTTGAGCGAGGGATTCATACGGAGGGGCATTTATATATCATTCATAGGCCCTTGGTTCCCACACAGTGCTAATGTGCCATATTTATGTTGATTCCTTTGCTAAGATCAGGCGAAGCCGATTGGCGTTTCGGAAAGGGAACTGCGTCGAAGGGGGGATCCCCAGGTTCAATTCGGCTTGGAGGCTTTTTCCGCTGCCGGCCCTGTGATCTTTTACAATTCCTTCGGCATCAGCTGGTGAATGAACGCGAGCCTGAGAATTTTCGCAGAGTTCGCGCCCTGCAGCCGGCGCCGCACTTCCCTCGCAGTGCGCCTCTTCTCAAAAGGTTTTGGGATAGTCGGATATCCGCGTGCACCGGGCCGGTCTTGTGGCATTCTCAGATGGATCGTCCGTCTTTTATCGTCTCGACCATCACAACCTGACCCGGACGCTCTGAAGCGCCTTCACTGAATCCCCCGTCTCTCCTCGACGCCGACTTAAAAAAGGGGCGACACGCTGCAATGGCTCACAAGGCATTCTCTTCCCACGTCTTCAATGACCGTTCCTATACAGTGAAACATCGCTTCAAGCAACATCCCAGAGCGAACGGCATATTCTGTTTCTCCCATACTCTGCGCCCCGCCAATGCTTCGCCGAGAGCGCGCCCCGTTGCATTGGTCTCTGGATATGTTATCCTTCGCGATCGTCTGGCTGCTTCCCGTCGGTGGTACGCGGAGATGTTTGTCCCGTCTCGGGTGACTGCCGAGCTTTCTCTACTTTTTGATGCTCGCGGCCGCCTTCTTGCTGAGCATCTGTCAAGTCTGTACTTGCGCAACAACACCGTCTGGGGCCACGAGCTCAGCGAAGGGAACTTACTGCTGGTCACCGAGCTCCGAGTCGTAGAGTCGCACCGTAGGCAGGGGATCGCTGCTTGGCTGCTCGACCTCGTTCTTTCTGAGCCAACCATCGCCCGCCCGCCGCAGGCCGACTGGAGGATCATGCATCCGCCGCCGGAAAAGTGCGAGTTTGCGATAGCTTCGCCTTGTGGGCCCCGCGAAGAAGGCACGTCTGAAGAGCAGCGTAAAGAACAGTCGCAAGCCGCTGAGCGAACCTTCCAACGCGTCGGCTTCAGACGTATCGGGCGCTCCGCGTTCTTAGCGAAGCCTTTGCGAGATTTGTCACACCCAGCTCTTCGCCTACCCGCACGAGACGACGCGAGGGAGCTTTCGCCTCCTGTACCTTCTCGTCCTCTCCCGGTGTTATCGCCCTTCATGCGCACCTTATCGCGGCCAAACTGGCCTGATAACTGGCAGCGATTACCGTTGCATGGGATGATCTCCTCGCAGGATTGCTCTGACGCCGAGATTCTTGCCGCTCTTTCGCGCCTCTCCTCGTCGGCCGAACTTGCCCATCTTTGCACCCCGGATCCCCTCGCCATGAATGCGACTCCGCTCCACCTGGCTGCTATGCAGGGTCGAGCTTCAGTCTTAGAAAAGCTCCTGACCACCGACGCTCGTGGCAACGTCTTCGCCGCCACGGCGCAAGGACGCCTGCCTTTGGATTGTTTGCAGCGCGCGATGCGCGAGGAGAAGGCGTCGGTCGCAGCTTTGGGTCTGCGGGAATGGCCTGGTTATTCCGTGTCGGCTATTCAGGCTCAGGCCATCTTGCTCGCAGCAATGGGGAAACCTATTCCCAGCGAGGTCGCCGCAAGATGGGGCTGCACCTGCGGACGTTGCGCAAAGGGGTGGTTTTCGCCGGCGATGAGTTATCAGATGAGCGGTGCGCCCTATCTTCCCCTTTCTGGCACTTCTGATTCTCATTACCGACGGCGAAGTGCATGCTGAAGTCGCCGCGACCTCTATACGTTTGAGTCTGGCATCCACCCCTGCCGACGAGACACGAGGTCGCATTCGACTTTACAAGACGTCAACTTTGGACCTGATACATTTCATGAACTACATTCCCACCTCAATTCGTGAACCAGGATTGCAAGCAACTTTCATCGAAGGCTATGCGGCAGTGTTGCAAGCAACGGCGTCTCTCACGAGACAGAAGATCGTGCCAAGCGTCGAGGTCGTCTCCGAACACGCGCTCCGCCAAGGAGGCGAACACTTCAGCGCAAGCGCCGTGGAGTTCTTTATTCAGAAAGGGGGCACTATCGAGCACGCTTTGAATGGCGTCTTGCATACTGCGTGGGAGCAGGTAAAGTCGTTACTGCGCTCGCGCTACATCGCTGACTTATATTCGTTACAGGGCCCGGGAGGCGACGGGACGCTCCTCATGGTTGATAGCCACGCTGATGAGCTTAGGAGCCTACCGGCGTGCGACAACGATGAGGACTATCATCTGCTTCGAGCAAATCTCAAGATTCCGGTGACTCTGAACGGTCGCCTAAGTTCGGGCTGGTTGGACCAATACTTAGTGGCGGAGCCGTCGCGTGATGGCGAAGAAAGCGCGGAGTCATCGCAGGATGAGATATGAGAGAATTGAGGGCTTGGGATCTCCGGTCGTGACGGGATAGACTGTAAGCACAATGCTGCGACGCCGTGGAGGCGATGTTGACATTGCAGTCCGCCCAGTCTATTTTCCTTGTCATTCATGATTATCTTCGTGCCGCGATATGTCACCCGCTTGAGGTTCGTATGATTGCTTATGATCGACTGCAAAGGACCGTCAGGTAGGGCGTGACGGAAGTCTTTCTGCGCATCCATGCGTCCGACTCAGCATGCAGCTGGGTGCGCCTATTGTCAGCTCGGCGCCGTCACGACCCGGATGACTCATTCACCGGGAAAAATCTCCGCGAGGTGAACACGAGGTGAACACGTGCATGTTCAGGAGGCGAACACGTGCAGGCGTCGTCCTCTCGGCGCGTTCCGCTGGTCAGCTCCTTCGTGTTGACGCTCGCTGTACCCCCTTCCGGCGAATCGCGCCCGTCTCCAATCTCCAATTCGCCTGGCTGCAGGTTATCCGTATCGCCGCTGGAGATGGCGCCCCGAAGTCCCCGCGACCCCATAATGTCTCTTCGCCGCGATCCCGCTCTGCTGCTTCACGCGCATTTGTACGCTTCTGGCTTACATACTTCGGCGACGAACAAGGCTAACAATAGAGTACGGGGCAGTATGGAAGAAGACCTGGCAGGGTTGTTCCGCTGCCGCGACTGCTTTGGCGAGCGTACGCGAGATAGGCGTCCGCGACAAGGTGATCTGTGCGTACTTCCTTCCCCGCGTCCTGCCTGCGCCGCGCCGTTAACGTCGATTGCAGCATAGCGGTCAAGAATGACTTCGGTGAAAAATGGCTCGCTGTCATTAATCGAATCATCTTTATCGAGGTCAACGGCGTGAGGACGAAGGCGGCGCGTAGGACATCGCGAACATTGAACGGCGGTCGACTTACCCATCCCTAGATCGACTCTATTCCCGCTTGGTCGGTAGGTCACCTGCGAGAAGCCATCGCGGACGGGAAGGTGCGCAACGCTGACATGTGAGTAGCGCCTGTTCTGGTACGTGGTTGAACTCGAAAATGACGGCTCTCCGTAGACTCGAGCAGCAGCTTCGAGGCATGCCATCCGACTGGCATTTCGTGGCTGTCAATCACACCGACACCGTCTACGCTGATGATCAGCTGATCAGTGCGCCTTCTCTCTCCTGTTCGTATCGCTCAGACCTCATTTCTGTGTAGGCGGCGTTACGAAGGGCGACATGTATCGCTTGGGATATCTCGATCCCGAGTTCTACCTCCTGATCAACGACGTGGACGGCACCGATGTCAACGATCCCTTGCGGGAGCGTGAATACGTCCTGGCCTCACGCCTGGATATATCGGCCGTCCTTGCATACTGAGTACTCGCTCCGAAGTAGATCTCCGCTTGCATACTCGGTATACCCCGCATTATTTGTTCTTTGTCCCTTAATTTTGTGCGTACTATGTACGGAAGCAGGCCGTCAGCCATACTTTGATAGGATGAGATCAGTGAGCTGGCGAATGTGCAGCGCCGTCTCGTTTCTAACACGCCGGCGGCAAGGCGCAATCTCGGTGAGATGCACAGGGGCACTGGCGCGAGATCCCCGGGCGCGCCCAGCGGATACGTCAACTGCAGCCAGCGGTGACATACGCAGTGCTTGACTTCCCGCGAACGCAGAGCGTACGGCGTCAGCGGCGCTTTTGCGGCTTGGAGATCGATGCGTATCAGCGGAAATCCAGCCTCCGGACGCGAGAACTCCGACAAAGAATCCCCTTTCCCATTACGCCGTGAGGGCGGCTTCGTTCTCTTCCATCTGGCGCCGAAGTAACCCCAGTTCTCGAACAAGTCAGGGATTCACATCCTAGCACCGCTCTGCCAGCAGCCGAACAGCATGGCCTAATGACGCCATTTCCAGCTACAGGATCTCGCCGGCCTTGAAAGTTTACCCCGGAAAGTCCGTGCCTTTCTGCCGACCCTGCAGAAGCTTTGAGAGAGAAATCTTACTCGGACAATGTACGCGGAGGTAGCAGACCGGCAGTACAGATATATACGACGTCCCCCACGAGTCAGAAGACGGGGGAAGTGAAGATACAACCTATGCGAGCATACAAGAAATGATACAACAATAGCGAAGCTTTTGGAGAAGGAAGCGAGACAACAGGATTGCCGCCCTACGCACGAACGCCGCGGAGGTTGTCCGCTAACTCAAGCATCATCCTCCTCAGGATCGCGACGACGTCGCGCGCCGTGTCCCGGGTCACTTCCCTTTGCTCTATGAGGGCGCAGATTGTCAGTCCGCGGGCAGCGCGTCGCTGGCGATCGCAAAACGTACCGATCACTTTGTCAACGAGGCGCTCGAACCAGACGCCGACGGACACGTACAACGTGCGAAATTCGTGGCGAAGGGTGACGTTGAAGTCATCCAAGTGGCGCTCGATCCTGGTCAGCAGACCGCCGTTGCGATTGGAGGTGTCGGCCAAGGCCTGCACAGTCTCATTCTGCGCGGCGACCTGAGCGCCGAAGGCGCCGACTTGCTGTTGGAGGACATCGATGCGCCCCAAAATCAGGTTGATCCCCTCTGTAGTCTTTAATCGGCATTAGATCGGGGGAACAGTCTGTGGGTACGCACCGTAGAATGCTGGCGGCATGTCGCCAGGCTGATCGTGGGCTGGCTCCTGCTCCATGGGCGACGGGAAGTGATGATGGTGGGTGTTGATAGAGTAGTGCGGAAAGTGTGGGTGAAGACATTTATATCGTGCGTATAATCCGGATCTCTGCGTCGCACGGTGACCCGGTGACAGGCGCTGTTGGAATTGTTGGTCGCTGGTCTTCTCGAGCGCTTCCCCTAAACGGTAAGAAACGTCAGGCTGGGTGCGGCTCCGCGTGTGGCACAACATAATCGAGACGGACGAGCCTGCCGTCGCCCAGACATCGAGCGTAACCCCCCCATTTCCTCTTCGCAGAAGTCCGTCGACGCCACTCTCAGACCGCGACAAATCCAACCCTTCGCCGACCCCACTGCCCTACATTGAATTCATCACGAGAAGTCGCCGCACGAGTGACTGCAGGCGCTTGCGAAGAACTGAACGCCCGGCGCCCGCAGCGTTCTCTGCGTCCCAAAGCGAATGCGTCGTCGTACATCAGGCACAGAGCGCGATCCCCTCACGGGCAGCCGATTGGCCGACGCGAGAGAGGAGCAGCCCAGCGGAAACTCTACGTGCCGCAGGACAAACTAGCCAAAGCAATGCAGACGGTGCTTCAGAGAACAACGAAGTCGGGGTGAGCGTCGGAGGCATACCGCGCCTGAGACTGCCGCAAATGCGACCGCGGAGATGCGCGAGTCCTCGGTGCTTCGGTGATCGCCACTGCGAGCCACGGCGATTGCCGAGATACCGGCTCATCGCTCCGATGCTCGATATTAGACCGTGGCCGAGGAACTTAGATGCAGAAGCTTGCAAACTTAGGTCGCAAAGCGTGCAGGCGGTTCAGCGCGTGGTACAGTCAGGCCGCCTAACCCCTGGGCGCAATTGCGTATGCCTGCCTGTCCACATAGGTTTGGGCCGTTCACGCGTTCGGCTTCGCTCTTCCTACGGTTCACAGCGAGGCTCGGCCAGCGAAGCTTTCGGATCTGAAGCAAGGCGGCATAAGCTTCTCGCACAGATAGCAGGAGAGAACAGTTACAGCGAGCTGCCTGCGTGGGGTCTTAATTAAGCCGGGCGCCATGTTACCATCAAAAATACAATACCCTGCGGCTGCGCGAATGGCTTCTCGAGAAGATGCGCGTTTCTTAGCTGGGCACTGGACTTTGCGGCGCACGGAAACATGCATGAGTTAAGGAAACCCAAGTCGCCGTATCGAACCGAAGCGCCGCGCTGATTGTACGATTATGTTTCATAAGAAAGGTCCGCCAAGATGGACGGGTAGGTTGACGTCAGCGGGATGCGCTCGTGAGAAATCCAGGGTCACGGTAGCTCGCACTCATGACTACTACTAGCGCCAAGGAACGTCAATCAATAGAGATACCAACCAGCATGTTGTGTCATGAACGACACAGAGATTGGGCTCATTTACGGCGCATGTTACGTACAACGTCGGTCAAGTCAGGGAGTTCACGACATGTCGACGATGGAGAAGATCGACGTCGCGAAGTGAACATTGGGTGCATAGATGATCAGGTCAGCTTCAAATGGCCATTTATTTAGTCTGACACTCACTAAAATCGTTATTGCGATGTGATATCCAGCTCTGAAGTAATCGCACATGCGCGATGCAAGACATCTTGAGGGTACAGCAGTATCAGAACATCAGCGTCGGCTGGTCAGTGAATATCCCTTCTATTTTCTCAAGATCGGTGAAGTAAAACCTTGAAACGGAACGAGACCACGCGCCGCAATGATCCGAGTCCGCATCCGTGCTATATAAGTCTCCTCTAGCTTGACTCTCAAGCTTGCGTCCTTGCCCCAATCCGCCATGTCCAGCGAGCTCGCGGCCTCGCCCAATCTTGCGCCGTCTCCTCTCATGTTGAAGTCTACGCGTTCTGCATCAGTGGCACACGGCAATGGCCGTCGATCTGACGCGGGACTTGACCACGCCGGCGCCTCTGGCGATCAAGCCCCTATCGCTGGTACGGACCATAATGCCGCCCATTATGTAAACGCTGAATAGAATTCGCCAGATATATTTCTCAACATCGCCAAGCGTCTGGAGCGCGTAGGCGACTCCTTCGGCAATCACTCTGCGCTATACAAGTCCACCCATGGGGCATTGGAGGCTCAGGCTGCCGCCGACAATGCGCAGCTCCAACAGCTCGAAGGTCTGGACATGCACGTCCTGAACGTTCGCTCGACATTCAAATCCGAGAGTGCGGAGCTTCGTCGTGCTTTCGATAAAGGATTCGAGACTCTTTGTGCCGCGCTGGACGGTGAGATTCGCCCCTTCCCCCCATAACGTCTTCTGGGCTGAGAACGCGCCTGCGTGTAGAGAACATCGTCGTCACGAAGGAGGTTAATCAGGACCTTGTTCGTGATATCGAACGGTGCTTTGAGTCTCCGACGACGGCGGCGAAGGCCGTGAAACAGGCGAAGCCGGTGAAGCCGGCGGCGACGCTGAAGTGATGCTCTCCATCCTGGCTTCTATTACATTTCTCCGTGTTTCCGATATGCGTTCGTCAGCGGATCCTGTATATGCGTGTATTTGTATCACAATCGTGTTCTGATTGATATGTTCGCGTCCCGTCCGACATCTACGGAGCTTCATATTCGCCATGGGAGAGGGCGCTGCGACCGATGAACCTTCGCTGGAAGTTGCAGCCCCTTTCGCATGGTGCTGCGCTTCCGAGTGTGAGGAAGCGCAGAGGAATCGCGGGTCGCTCTGATGCCGGAGCTTGCTTTGTGAAGTCGATGGGGAGACTTCGTCCGCGCCTCCGTCTGTAGCGGTGGTTGATTGATGCTTTCCTCAATTGGTGACTATGAGCCGTTGAACAGCTACCCCGAGTTTGAGAACTGCTCGGGTCTACTTACATCCGCTTGGACGCTCGGCGCCTCACAGACATCTATCGCCGGCGGCGAAGCTCCTGAGAGTGCCGGGGGCGGAGGGATGGGGATGGGGGCGACGACGTCGCGGCTGGGCCTCGTCGCAATCGCGAGCCGGACAAGGGTGGATGCGAGATGCGGAAGCTCCGCGCCTCGCTCGCAAGAAGCTTATTCAAATGTTCATTCTCATGTCCGAACAACATGTCTCCCAACTGCGAACAATACATGAGACCGAGGAGGCCGTTACTCGGGACGCTCACTGCACATCCCACACTAAGTAAGACCTAAGAGAACAAGACATTAGCGCGGGGTGCGTGGGCGTAAAGAACTTTTGTCGGACCGTCCAAAGTTTGGTTAATGTTCGCCAGGCTCATCCTAAGAGCGATGTCCACGCTGCGGAGTTCGAGGCGCAGTGTGTATTCAAGTGATTCGATAGACCGAGTAAGGCCCACCAAGACCGTCTCGTTGACGCTCAAATTCGCTTGTGTTGACTGCTCTGATTTGCTAGAGAGAAGTAGCTCGCGCAACTCCCTAAACTTTTGTAATTCCTCGGTCATTGCCGTGAGCGTTGACTCGAAACGGGTCGCGGCACTTTCGAGAGTTTCGTTCAGCTGCTGCTGAACTGCAGCTGTCGTGCGGTCCATGCGATGAGAAGGTGATCTTCGCATATGTAGAGAAGGTAAGAGGGTCTCACCTAACTGCGCGCCGGGAGGAGCTTGCTCTGCGACTTCAATCTCGGCCATGCTGGAGTGGGGTGAGGTCCAGTCAGGGCGTCGCGTCCGCCTCTCATATATGGTTCCAAAGCATGAAATCGCCGCTCCGAGACTGCGAGACTTTTGTGCTGTCAGGCCGGCAGTCTACTTGATCGTGGGCATGCGGCGGCATTTCCGTCTCCTTAGGGGTTAGGCCATGCGCCTGACCCTGCGGCGCTAGTGGCGACTGAATGGCGGAAGAAATATTCTTCGCGTAGGCGACGGGGGGCCGGTGAAAGTAATCCCGGGCACAGTGTTCATCTCAGGCAAGGGGCCACTGGCACCGGGATGCTTATGGTTAAACGGCGCCGACAGTACAAGCCCGCGATCATCCCGCCCTACTAGAACCGGATCTTGCCGGTAAGAGTTGACGCCCGCCGAGCGCGCATCCCTCGTTTTCTTTCGCCCATCATGTCCGCGCCCCCCGAGGCCGTCTTCTTTCCGATTCTCCAGTTGCCAGTTGAGTTGATCGCGGAGATTGCCCTCTGGGCTCAGCATATCTGGCTAAACGACATGTTCGCACCCCTATCTGGCGCTCCAACTTGTCGCCTGGCCGTTGAGCCTCCGCCTCCTCTTGTCCTCCGCGAGGAGGCCTGCTGCAGCTACGTCGACCGCACCCTGCTGCCGTCCTGTATAGCGGAGGAATTGCCGCCAACCGCTCGATCCCCGGCGCATAGCATGAGCGAGACCTGCCGCCGTCTGCGCGAAGCTTTGCGCGAAGGCGATTCACGTCCATGGAAGTTGGACAACACCTTGTACCGATTCAAATCGAACGCTGCAGGCTCCGCGCAGCGAGAAATCAAAAAAGACGTTCCAGTGCACTCCCGTGTTCTTGTAGCAATGCCGTCGTGCGCATGTTTGGTACGGAAGGTGCGAGGCTTCTACCAAAGCCTTCAGGATGTCAAGATAGTCCTCCCTTGGGCGACGGCCGAGCGCGATCACAACGACGATCTCTTTGTTAGGGACCACGCAGACGATAGCCCGCTAGAGCGCTTCGATCTCGAGTTCTGCAACCCGCTCCGATACGCCCCCCCCTCGACTATTCGTTTCGTTAGAAGTGACAGGGTGACCTTCTCGCGGACGGTCGATGCGCGTTTCTTCTACTCGTCTCCAGTCCTCACCTCACTATGCGTGCGGCAGTCTATCTGCAGGGAACCTTATTTTGGACAAAGTTTCTGGACGGGGTTAGCGCTCTGCGCCAAAAGCTTAGAATTTTGCACTCTCGACGTCCCGAGCGGGTCTTTTAACGGCGGCGAAACATTCGTTCAATTACCCAGGCTACGCTATCTTCGGCTTGTAGCCCCCGCATCGCATTGCGCCTGGTTGCTTCAAGCTCTGCAGCTCAGGCCGGATATCGACATTCACCTAGAGCCAGTATTCGACTGGCGGGCTGCAGCTGACCGCGTGGTCAGGCTTATGATGGATCACGGACACGCGCATCCCTTGAACGTGCCATTCGCTGCGATGCAGGACGCGGCAGACCCCGCCGCGGCTCAGCGTCCTCATGCCCATTGGCGTTTCTTGAGCGCCGTCGCTGCCCCCGACCAGACGGCTAGCATATTTCATATGCCGCCGTTTTTGGAAGTGCGAGAGGAAAATTTGACTCACGCTATGAAGGTCGTCGGGTTGGATGTCCGGTTGGATCCATCTACCACCGCTAGCGATCGAGCCTGCAGCCGCTTCCCGGCACTCATCGCTTTGCATTTCGCCGACAGTTTGGGCGAGTTTCATCGCCGATGCGCAACCCCAGAACCGAACTGGCGTTCGTCGGAGGTACCCGGTGATAAACAGAAGGCTCGGCGTTCGTTAACTTTTCGAGATGCCGTCGAGAGTGCCGCCAGTAGGGCAGCTGCGTACCGTCCACAGTTCATCATGCCCGTCTACGACGCCGTTGCGCATGTCATGCAGCTGGTCATGAGGGGCAAGCTAGGAACTGCGTTCCGCGGCTTTGACTCACTGCGCGTCCTGGCCCTGCATCCTTCATCCTGGCGGCCGGCATATTCCCTAGGCTGGGCCTTCATCTTGGACCATTGCGATGAACTCAAAGCCATCGCCATCATCTGCGACCGCGTCTGTGAGGACGACGAGCCTTTCAATGAAAATGTGGAAGGGCCCCTTGCGTCAGCTCAGCTGGAAGCGCTGGCCGCCTATCTGAACGACCTTCGGGCCACGACGGAGATCCCTTGCGGCAACTTGCGCGCGATACACATACGCTGCATGACTGATGCGCTTTTTCTCCCCGACCGCGGCGCCTTCGTCGCACGGTGGGAGCGGCGCTTCAACGGAAAAAACCGTAGCCGCACA